CCCTAATTATATCACAGTTTTCTCTCAAATCAAGTAGAACATTGGTGGACACCGGTGGTTGTTGAACCAAACACCTCCTCCCCTCCTCTATTAGCAGAGGCCCGTGCTACTGGATCTGGCAATGTGCCCAAATAAAGGACTACAGTTCTTGGCCTCTCTTTCAGCTTTGAGTGTCCATGTGCTGTTTGTTCTGCCTGAGATGTGAGCCCTAGTTATTGGACCTGTCATTTGGGAAGGCTCCTTAAAGGGCAACGCAGCTGAGGAAGTCCCTTTCCAATCTTTGTCCTTCCTGATGTCCACGAGGTAACTTCCTGAAGGAAACGCACAAAGACAGAGAGAGCAGAAAAGTAGGCACCTGAGTCTCTGAGGACACTATTAGCTACAGACTGCCCACATGTGAGTTTCCTGGGATGCAAACTACAACAAAAACAGTAAAAAGAAAAAGAAACTCCTTTCTTACTGAAGCCATTATTACTTTGGAGTTTCTACTTAATCAAACTGTGGCTATTCCTAGCAGATACAGAATATAACTTTAAATCGGGTATGATACCCATAAATTGATTCTTTGTAATCCAATCTTTATGAATATGATCAGAAAACAATTAAAAACAGTAAGTTCCCATTTTATAATCTGTTTACTTCCATGGTAAGCCAAAGAAAGAATGTTCCAATAAGGTATTTGAAGAAATTATGTTTTCAGAATCACCTGGAACTGGAAGCAATCTGCTACCAGACTACCAAGTATCGCTGCCCAGATGAACCCAAATGGGTGCAGATACTCCAAAGGCACAAGCACTGGCAGAGGCCAAAGTGACGTAAGGATGCCACTGAAAAGTAGAAATGTGTCAAAGAACATTTCCTCAGAGTCTGTACTAAAACACATTTTTTCCCTTGGCTTTCACACAAAATTAAAGAGAAATTTATTAAATGTTACCATATGAATATTTTGTAAAACATTGGTCCAAAGATTTTTTTTTCTGAAGCAGATTCCTCCAATGTGGAAAGAGCAAACAGAATGTAAAAAATGAACATTGTTGGAAATATTTAAAGTAGAATCACACTGAGCTCCTTTTGCGTTGCTGCCAAATCTCAGAATCCTGGGGTCTTGGCACAGTTTTTCATACACCTGAGCCTTGAGGCTCAGCGCAGTCCCACACAGCCCCAGGTGCGGGACTTGAGTTGTATAAGGAATTACTTGAGTTGTATAAGGAATTTCCTACGAGAAATTTTAAGTGAGAAAGAATAAACTCTATGTTCCCCAAAACTGAGTTTCCTAATTCACCAAAACAATAGCATTTTATCATCCAGGCCTCTTAGTCTTTGGATAACAATGATCAATGGGGAGAAAGAAAAAAAAATGGCTACTCTCAATTAGATGAACTTTTTTAAGCTAAGATTTTCTTTTGGTTACTAAGGTTATAATTTTTTAAATCTTCCATTTACACAAGTCAGATGGAGGAAGAGCAATATTTTGCCGACTGACACTCAATCAGACAACATGACAAGCAGAAAAACATGTGCCTACCCCAGGTGTATATAACGCCTGTATTGCAGTGCTTTCTGAGACTCAGGTTCTCAATAATGCCTTGCTTAGTGCCTGGGCGATCAGTCGTCCCAGGACTGTGGACGCGCACTCCACCAGGAACCAACAATCCTTTTGGGATGTTGGAATCTGCGTTTCCACAGCCCGACTCACTTTCCAGCACATCCCCCTCCCAGAGGGGAGGAAGGTTTGCAAGGACACAAAAGACTTAAAGTTTTTACTTAAAGAGATGTTTTTGAGAATTAGGTAAAGATAATAAATCACTGATAACATCTAAGGGACAACTATGGATCAGGCTAGGCACTAAGTCCTCTCACCAACGGCACAAGGTACGTGTCTTCGTCCCGTCACAGCCTCGAGCCTCTTCCAGGGTTCCAACAATCGCACAATTGCAGTGGTGAGGCCAGGGTAGATTCCAGGCCCACAGGATTCAAAAGCCCTCTACTCTTCACGGCTCTATGATGCTCTCTCATTCACTGAGATACCTGCAAGCGGATCCTAATGCAAAAGTGGGGATGCTAGTCATTACTCCTACCCATCATTCTGCCAAATCTGAGGAACATCATGGTTAAGAAGCATACTTGGGGCTCTGGCAACCTCAGGAAATGGGAAATATACAAGGTGCAGCCCCAAAGACTGATGATGCAAAATTACCACAAATGATGAGTATATTTAACACTACAAAGGAAAATTGGTGATCTGGAGTTAAATAGGCAAAATTCTATTTTTTTGCTCTATTCCTTATAGAACACCACACACAAACAAAAAGTTACATCCAGCTATTCATTTTTGAGTGTTTTTAGGAAGAGTGGGAACAAGGTCCAGCCAGGTCTGCTAACTCTACTTTCCTACTAGCTTCCTGTTTTCAAAAGTAATGGCTGCCTCCTCCCTCAAATTGCTCCAGGTCTTCAGTCCAGAGCCTCAGCATCAATGTGTACACTTCACGTGTGATGTGACACCACCATTTTGTGCTTCCATAGTGCACACACACTAACTCAGCCCACCAAAAATGCTAGGATATAGAGAAATTGGAGGCCATGAGGTATGAATGAGCGCCCCGTACCTATTTTCTGGACCCTTGCTTAAACTTGGGCATGTGTGAAAGAAAAAATACTTGGTTAGCATTCAAGAGACCCAGATTCAAGTCATGATTTCATCAGGAAGCAGGTAAGTGATATTAAATAATTTCATGTTCTAGGCAGTGTTCTGTAATCACGGATTCAGTGGTTTTCAAACTGTGGTGAGCAGAGCCTGAAGAGCTTGCTAAACATTCTCCTATACACAGGCCTGCTTCACTGAGCCCAGGCATCTGCATTTGAGCACACACCTGAGGCTTCTGATGCTGGTCCCCAAGGGAGAGGCAGGGCAGCTGCTACAGCAGTGCGCCAGTCACCTCAAGGCTCCTGCAGAAACGTCTTCCCCACTGGCTGACGGGACACAATCCCAGGAGACCCAGTTCCAAGACTGTCCCCAGGATCTGGACCGCTGCGTGTGCCCAAGCTCCACATTCCTGGACACCAAGACAGGCGAATGCAAGTTCTCCTAAAGCCACGGCCCCGCTCCTTCCTCCAAGGTGTGCGGTCTCCTGGGCTTTGGCAGGTAACGTTTTTGGGTGGTTCTGACTACTAGGCTACGAATCTCCCTCTGGCACTACTGTGAAGTGCTAGGGAAAATGATCAGTTACAAGTCTTGGTTCCAAGAAGATGAGGTAGTACATACTCTGAAGTAAATCAATCAATCCATCATAATATCATTTCCCTGAAGAGACCCAATTTTTGTAGAAAAATGGTGTTTATGTGTAAGATCCAAACACAAAAAGAGATATCAATGGGGGAAGGGGGGGCGGCAGAATAAGGCAGCATGGCATGGTGATTTATAAAGAAAAACCAAACTTACTCGCAGTTATCCCGGGTTCCAACCTCCACTCCACTGTTAAGCAACCACAGACAAGGAGCACATTACTTAACCGCTCTGCGCCTCCGCTCACTCACCTAGACCACAAACACATTAGTAATATTTTAGAAAATGATAGATTAAATGATTAAAGTTCTGAGAATAGTATCTGGGACACAGAAGGAGTTATGAAGGGAGTTAGAAATTCATTTATTTAATCAATGAGAGCTGATTAGAGAATTTCAGAAAAATGGCAAGGAATGTAAGACACCACGAGAGAAGGGAAAAATAATTCTCAAGATTCCTGCTCTCAGAATTGGTGAGCTTTCCAGAATACGGCATGTCCATCGTTAGACATTAACTTGGAAGGCTCAGAAACTTCCGAGCTTCCTAGATTTATTTTTCAGATCACGAATCAGTAATTCTCAGACATTGTAACTTTAACTGGTACTGTTTCTGTATTTAATATATCCTCACACTTTCAGCTTAAATAACATCACTGCTTATTTTATTGATGCTAGTGATTTGTTAATAGCACTTAATATAGAATGTTTTTTTTCTTTTCTTGTGAACCTAAGTTAGGAAAATTTTTCTTAAAACATTATCCTGTATGTATGTATGTATAAATGTATATGTGACATATATGGATATATATATATATTAATATTTCACCTTTTATTTCTCTTAGATACAATTTTCTCACTTTCAAAAGTGTTGGGAAAGTTGCTGAAAGTGATTAACTCTTGATTTTGGTGTAGGAACTGAATTCAAAACTACAGATTAGGTAAGATTATGTAATGGAGTACTTTACAGAGCTTGATCCTCCTTTTTCTTTTTTTTTTTTTTGAGACAGAGTCTTGCTTTGTCACCCAGGCTGGAGTGCAGTACACAATCTCAGCTCACTGCAACCTCCCTGCCTCCAGGTTCAAGAGATTCTTGTGACTCAGCCACTGGAGTAGCTGGGGTTACAGATGCTCACTACTAGGCATGGGTAATTTTTATATTTTTAGAAGAGATGGGATTTTGCCATGTTGCCCAGGGTGGTCTCAAACTCCTGGCCTCAAGAGATACACCTACCACAGTCTCCCAAAGAGCTGAAATCACAGGCGTGAGCCATGGTGTCCGACCATCTTCTGTATTTTTCACAGTCTTATTACTATTTTTCATGATGTTTTGGGCTGAGCTAGAATTTGAACCCAGGCTTAGATATAACTCCAACTCTGTTTCTTCCTTCTTTATTACACAGCCTTGCAGAAGCCAAAGGTGAAGATTATAAATGTAACGATTTAAGAGTCATCTAGAAAGATAACGTCACTAAAAACGTGCATGAGAAAGCTACCTACAAATCGTACACACTTACACATGTCCCTTTTTCAGTGTGGATGCTCTGGGTAACAGGAAGTTTGAAAATAAGCATTTGTACTGACAGAGCCAAATTTTATATCAATTAAAATGAAAATATAAAAAATGAAAAAAACAGGACACAATGCCTTCTTTCAACTCCTAAAATTAATATTCATGAGACTGATAAAAGTCTGTAAGCAGCAATTATTGGTCAATTTTCAGTTTCTAAAAATATTGTTTTATTAAATAACTGTTAAATAGGATTTTTACAAAATAAACGGCATAGAAAAGGGTAAAAATGTTTACGTTCCCAGAGTTTTCTATGCCTTTTCGACAGAAAGGAAAAGGCATAGGAAGTTGTCAGCTGCTAGTACTTCTGGAGAGATGCCATGACTGGCTAGTGCTGGAGTATCACCAGTTCTGTCTCTCATGGGAAAGAGGAGGATCGACACTTGGTAGAGAGGTAGCATGTCTTCAGGTAACAGCTGCTACACACAGCTGGCTTCAACTGTAGCTCCCTCGTTGGTGGCTGTCAGTTTCAAGGTGTAGCATCTCAGCACTCAGGAAGAGTTAAGAAGCTGCACGAGGTTTTCAAGACATTTCAAATAATAGGCATTTAGAGGGTTTTCTTCTAAATTTGGGAAAGCTGAGATAGAAAAATAAGAGTACACAAATACTAGTTTATTAAACTTGGTACTATCCTTAAGAGGCACACACATAAATATATATGAACAGGATTTATATATAATTTAAAGCTCTACTTAAGTTCTTGATGTGATAGCATTCCAGAGTATTTTGCATTTTTTAAAAATGAACAAGTTACAAGATTAATACAGTTTACCCAAAGAGTATTTTTAAAAAGTACTCCCACATAATGGATACCATTAACTATAATTCCAAATGAATGCCATTATTCTTTTTTTATGGACCATCCTTTCTAAAGCATAAACTTTAACTCAGTTATTCATTAGCTCCAGAAATTCATGGTCACAGCTAAAACAAACTGAAACCTCCCCTGCTTACAAAATAAATAAGACTATAAAAACACAAATAACCAACAGATATATTATAGTACAGGAAAGACACAGTTTAGTGTTTTAGCATAAAAAGTATTCAGAGAACAATGCTCACTGAAATTTGGTGTTGCTAAAAATGAGTAATGTGCTTTGAAAAGAAAACCCTTTCTAGTATGGTGACCAGATCACAGGGAAACATGGATATAGGGGTAATAGGATCATGAAAGACTGTCCTCCAAGCTCCCTGATGTTAGATCCCAGTTTTTTGCTCACAGTTAATTCTAATTTGGCCAGTTCTTATCACTAAGAACATACTTCAGCATAACAGTCACTGTTGGCAAAGAAAATGTAGTACAAAAATACGAGAAAGTTCATAGATGCATTTTAAGAAATGATCACATCTTAAATCTTCATGTATCTATTTTATTATTTTTTTAAATGATATAATTGAAGCACAAACTGAATATTGGCACATTTTACAATGCCATTTTGCTGTGGTCTGTCCAAATATCTCATTAATCAGAGAATTCACTTAATAGCTTCCAAGTTTAACTATAATCTCTTTCTTATTGAAACTTACTTTTCTTTGCTAAGGAATATGCTTCATCCACTCTTCTTTTTACTGATGGACTTTTCAAAGCTGCTTTTGCCTAGAGATAATGTAGAACAATTCATTAATTAGGTTTATTGCCATGTATTAAGGATCATGATAGCAAAACACTAATTCTGCCCACTGCTAACTAGAGTATTAAATAGAATATGATGAAATATGAATGATATAACTAGAGAATTCCATCTTAGTATATATAATACATCCTATTGTGCCAATCCCCTTGCACATTCTGAAGTCTTGACTATATCCTCTTATCTAACTTGTTTCTCTATTGTCCCATTTTCTTTCTTTTCTTCCCTTTTATTCCTCCCCTAATCTCAATTTGCTATTTTAAACTAGTCAACCTTGGTTTCCGTATTTCATAGTCCCTCGCACCTCAGATTTCTGATCGTGTATACCAAATATTACCAGTTGGCCAACAAATGTTTATGGAATGACTACAAAGTTCTAAGCTCTGGGGATACCCAGGTGAGGATGGCAGCAACGGCCTCTGTCCTTGTGTATGTGACTCTGGCAAACAGGGAGAAAACTAGCCCAGGCAGGGATAGTCGGCTGAGAGAACACCATTCTAGGATGGCTGTCTATCCTAACAGTGTCATTTGGCTATCATTTAATCACTAGATAATTATGGGTATTTCTCTCGGGAATGAGATGTCTGCAATAAAATAGAAGTCCAAAGGCCAGAGAAAAGTAGAACACGAGTCTCCACGTGGCCTGCCCTTTTCTCGAGCAGGCTTTGTGCTGCAATCTTACAAGAACTGAGCTAGAGAGAGGGGAATTATACAATTGGATAAAACTTTTGTTACTCGGTTTTACTTTAAGATGTGTTTTCCCTTGATACAACTTTTAGAAGAAACAATCTATACTAAAATTCCAACAATACAGTAAATCAATTTAAATTAAGAGGAAAATCTCAGTTCAGAGATTCTCTTCTGAACTGAAACGTTCTGTTGAAATGATTAAGTAAAAAGATTTCAACTAATGTTTTACTAATTGTGTGAATGAGCAAAGGGAACAAGAGTCTTTGACTTAGTTTTTTTTTTTCTTTTGCTGTAACTCTTCCGACATCTTTGGATGTATCCTAAGAGTGTAGACCCCGTTGTTTGCTCCTTAGGTGCAACAATGATTTTTAAAACTGACCTTCTGATAATTGTAAATCAGAGCCCAAAGCGCAGCTGCTCCAATCCTCTGAGCATTTTGATTCTCACTTTCCAGACAGCCAGCTAGCACAGTAATGACTTTTTCTAAAAATAAGCATATATTAAAAAACAGTTCAGTCCCAGACACTGCACTATAGTCTTGGACTAGTCAGAAACCTCCCTCTCTTCCCATTAGAACACATACACAGAGTTGATATCACCAGACTACTGCAAAACTAGTCTTTTATGCCACGTGGTACATGGGAGGACACCTCAGAACATTGTTTTCATGTCAGGCACAGATGGGTCAAAGACACTGAAGCTACCCCACTTTTTGGCCTGAATTCAACAAAAGGACCACAAGTGTGCCAAAAATAAGTATACAATTAGTTATATTAATGAATTACTCAATTATAGCTAACATTTTGGCAGGCAGAAAAACAGATCTGCTTTCATGATAAATTGTAAAGTCTATATACGAACATATCAATAGAATGAGCTACTATCATACTCGTTGATCTTTTTAAAAAATGACTAGGGTGGCTGTCAAGATGGCCGAATAGGAACAGCTCCAGGCTGCAGCTCCCAGCAAGATCAATGCAGAAGGTGGGTGATTTCTGGATTTCCAACTGAGGTACCCAGCTTATCTCACTGGCACTGGTTAGACAGTGGATGCAGCCCACAGTGGGCAAGCCAAAGGCAGGGTGGGGCGTTGCCTTACCTGGGAAGTACAAAAGGTCAAGGAACTCCCTCCCCTAGCCAAGGGAAGCCATAAGGGGCTATGCCGTGAGGAATGGTGCATTCTAGCACAGATACTACATTTTCACCACAGTCTTCACAATCTGTAGACCAGGAGATTCCCTCAGGTGCCTACACTACCAGGGCTCTGGGTTTCAAGCACAAAACTAGGCAGCTGTTTGGGCAGACACCGAACTAGCTGCCAGTGCTTTTTTTCTCAAACCCTAGTGGTGCCTGGAATGCCAGTGAGACAGACCTTTCACTCCTCTGAAAAGGGGGCTGAAGCCAGGGAGCCAAGTGCTCTAGCTCAGCAGATCCCATCCCCACCCCCACAGAGCGCAACAAGCTAAGATCCACTAGGTTGACATTCTTACTGATAGCATGGCAGTCTGAAGTTGCAGCTTGGCAAAGCTGCTGTAGCCAGACTGCCTCTCTAGAGTCCTCCTCTCTGGGCAAGACATCTCTGAGAGAAAGGCAGTAGCCCCAGTCACAGGCTTACAGATAAAACTCCCATCTCCCTGGGACAGAGCACCTGGGTCAAATGGGGGCTGTGGGTAGGTTTAGCAAACTTAAATGTTCCTGCCTATCAGCTCTGAGGAAAGCAGCAGATCTCCCAGCACAGCACTCGAGCTCTGCTAAGAGGCAGACTGCCTCTTCAAGTGGGTCCCTGAACTCCAGGCCTCCTGACTGGGACATACCTCCCAGCAGGGGTCCACAGACACCTCATATAAGAGAGCTCCAGCTAGCATCTAGCAGGTGCCCCTCTGGGTAAAGGTTCCAGAGGAATGAGCAGGCGGCAATCTTTGCTGTTCTGCAGCCTCTGCTGGTGATATCCAGGAAAACAGGGTCTAAAGTGGACCTCCAGATAATTCCAGCAGATCTGCTGCAGAGGGGCCTGACTAATAGAAGGAAAGCTAACAAACAGAAAGAAATAGCATCAACATCAACAAAAAGGATGTCCATACAAAAACCTCATCCGATGGTTACCAACATCAAAGACCAAAGGCAGATAAATCCACAAAGATGAGAAAAAATCAGTGCAAAAACACTGAAAATGGCAAAAACCAGAATGCCTCTTCTCCTCCACAGGATCACAACTCCTCACCAGCAGAGGAACAAAACTGGATGGTGAATGAGTTTGATGAACTGACGGAAGTAGGCTTCAGAAGGTGGGTAATAACAAACTCCTCCAAGATAAAGGAGCACGTTCTAACCAAATACAAGGAAGCTAAGAACCTTGAAAAAGACTAGAGATATTGCTAACTAGAATAACCAGTTTAGAGAAGACCATAAATGACCTGATGGAGCTAGAAAACACAGCACGAGAGCTTCATGAAGCATGCACAAATATCAATAGCTAAATCAATCAAGCGGAACAAAGGATATCAGAGATTAAAGATGAACTTAATGAAATAAAGCATGAAGACAAGATTAGAGAAAAAAATGAAAAGGAACAAAGTCTCCAAGAAATATGGGACAATATGGAAAAAAACCAAACCTATATTTGATTGGTGTGCCTGAAAGTAATAGGGAGAATGGAACCAAGTTAAAAAACACTCTTCAAGATATTATCCAGGAGAACTTCCCCAACCTAGCAAGACAGGCCAACATTCAAATTCAGGAAATACAGAAATCTGATAAAACACCACAAAGATACTCCTTGAGAAGAGCAACCGTGAGACATACACTCGTCAGATTCAACAAGGGTGAAATGAAGGAAAAAATGTTAAGGACAGCCAGAGAGAAAGGTCGAATACCCACAAAGGGAAGTCCATCAGACTAACAGGGGATCTCTCTGTAGAAACCCTATAAGCCAGAGGAGAATGGGGGACAACATTCAACATTCTTAAAGAAAATATTTTTTTTTTTTTTTTTTTTTTGAGATGGAGTATCAGTCTGTTCCCCTGGCTGGAGTGCACTAGCGTGATTTTGGCACACTGCAACCTCAGCCTCCTGGGTTCAAGTAATTCTTCTGACTCAGACTCTCAAATAGCTGGGACTACAGCTGGTTAGCCACCATGATCAGCTAACTTTTTGCATTTTTAGTAGAGATGGGGTTTCACCATATTTGCCAGGCTGGTCTCTAACTCCAGACCTTGTGATCCACCCACCTTGGCCTCTCAAAATGCTGAGATTATGGGCATGAGCAACCACACCTGCCACAAGAAAAGAATTTTCAACCCAGAATTTCATATCCAGCCAAAGTAAGCTTCATAAGTGAAGGAGAAATAAAATCCTTTACAGACAAACAATTGCTGAGAGATTCTGTCACAACCAGCCCTGCCTTACAAGAGCTCCTGAAGGAAGTCTAAACATGGAAAGGAAATACCAGTACCAACCAGTGAGCAGACGCTGCCCTCTAACTAATACCAGTGAGCAGACACTGGCCTCTAATAATACCAGTGAGCAGACACTGGTCCTCTTTAACTAATACCAGTGAGCAGACACTGGCCTCTAACTAATAACAGTGAGCAGACACTGGCCTCTAACTAGTACCAGTGAGCAGACGCTGCCCTTTAATACCAGTGAGCAGACACTGCTCTCTAACTAATAGCAGTGAGCAGACACTACACTCACAGACCCTGCCCTTGAACCAGTTACAGTTTAAATACATTTTGGGAGTGGCTAATAAATATATATAGAAAGATTTCCCAACAACAATGGTTCACCCTTAAGAATTAATTAATAAATCATTCTACTATCAAGATACATGTATGTTTACTGCAGCACTATTCACAATAGCAAAGACTTGGAACCAACCCAAATGCCCATCAATGATAGACGGGATAAAGAAAATGTGGCACGTATACACCATGGAATACTATGCAGCCAACAAAGCAGCATGAGTTCATGTCTTTACAAGGACATGGATGAATATGGAAACCATCATTCTCAGCAAACTAACACAGTAACAGAAAACCAACCACCTGTTCTCACGCATAAGTGGGAATTGAACAATGAGAACAAATGGACACAGAAAAGGGAACATCATACAGAGGAGCCTGTCAGGGGGTGAGGGGCTATGGGAGGGATAACATTAGGACAAATACCTAATGTAGATGACGGGTTGAAGGGTGCAGCAAACCGCCATGGCACGTGTATACCTATGTAACAAACCTGCACATGTATCCCAGAACTTAAGTACAATAAAAGAAAAAAAAAAGAAAGAAAAAGAAATCAAGGGACAGGAAGACAAATTCACAAAATTCCTCTAAGCATTTAGTTATTTTAATAAAAGAATAACAAATACAAAAGATGACTAAACATTTTAGAGACATTTGTGGGTTTGTCCATGTGTCAGAGGAAAAAGTGATTTAAAGGTGTATCAACCCACAAGACACACACTTTTTGCAAAGTGAGCCAGAGTAGGAAATCAAGACTTACTAATTATCTGCAGTAATCTGCTCACTAAGTGAAGATTCCTGGAAGTCTAGTTCCAAGAAAACTGTCAGGGTGTTTTGGACCAAATGTGAACCTATTACATATTTTACATATCATTAAATTTTACCAAATTATTTCTCTTCTATATTTTATGATTTCAAGAATGTGTTACATTCTTAAGGGTGAACCATTGTTGTTGGGAATTCTTTCTATATATATTTATTTGCCACTCCCAAAATGTATTTAAACTGTAACTGGTTCAAGGGCAGTGTCTGCTCACTGCTATTAGTTAGAGAGCAGCGTCTGCTCACTGGTATTAGAGGGCAGCGTCTGCTCACTGGTACTAGTTAGAGGCCAGTGTCTGCTCACTGTTATTAGTTACAGGCCAGTGTCTGCTCACTGGTATTAGTTAAAGAGGCCAGTGTCTGCTCACTGGTATTATTAGAGGCCAGTGTCTGCTCACTGGTATTAGTTAGAGGGCAGCGTCTGCTCACTGGTATTATTAGAGGCCAGTGTCTGCTCACTAGTATTCGTTACAGGTCATGTCTGCTCACTGGTATTAGTCAGAGGGCAGTGTCTGCTCACTGGTGTTTAAAGTTAGAGGCCAGTGTCTGCTCACTGGTATTCGTTACAGGTCATGTCTGCTCACTGGTATTAGTTAGAGGTCAGTGTCTGCTCACTGGTATTCGTTACAGGTCATGTCTGCTCACTGGTATTAGTTAGAGGCCAGTGTCTGCTCACTGGTATTCGTTACAGGTCATGTCTGCTCACTGGTATTAGTTAGAGGCCAGTGTCTGCTCACTGATATTCGTTACAGGTCATGTCTGCTCACTGGTATTAGTTAGAGGCCAGTGTCTGCTCACTGGTATTCGTTACAGGTCGTGTCTGCTCACTGGTATTAGTTAGGGGCCAGTGTCTGCTCACTGGTATTCGTTACAGGTCATGTCCGCTCACTGGTATTAGTCAGAGGGCAGTGCCTGCTCACTGGTGTTAGTCCATCCACAGTGCTAGTACATTTTAGAAGCTCAATAAATACTCATTGGGTAAAAGATTCCAGAATTAAAACAAAAATTTTGTCTACGTAATTCAATTTTGTTTCTTTATTTTAAGGGATTTTAAATATTTAACAAAAAGTAAACAAAAAAAGCTGCCCCCATAAAGTGAACTCAAAATGCGCAGCAGAAGGACAATGGGAAAGGCAGGTGCAGCAACGTTTCTGGCATGCTGCAGCTGACTCCCTGAACACCTCATCTGCATTATCTGATGCCTTTTGGTTTTCCTGTATCCTAACACACCCAAAACCAAGCCATGTAAGCAGCTGGCAGACAAAATTTGTCATGTGAAGTATGGCTGCAAGTACCACTCATTAGGCACATCATTAAATGTCCCCTTATTAAATGGGAGGGTGATTTCCTTGTTTCCATCTGAGTAGCATCAAGTGATGTTTTTAAATGTTGTCTCAAACACTCAGAATATATAATTCCTATGATCTAGGTAAGTTTATAACTTCTTCGACCAGCTGCTATCTCTTAAGGCATTTTTAATGAAGTATTATATGTATATGTGTGTGTGTGTGCGTGCGCACGCGTGTGTGTCAGAAATAATATGGCGGGCCCTTATGATAATGCAATGATTGAATTTTTAAAAAAACAAATTTTATTGTGAAACACACACATTTCATATGCATATGAAAAAAGCAATAAACAATTTTGAGTTTAACAAATAAGTCTGAACTCTCACATAAATATTTAAATAACCTCAAGCAAATATGTGGTAGTAAAATATAAATAATTAGAAATAATGAGCTTTGAATATTACCTTCTTAATATAATTGGTTTAATTATAAATTTAGGGATGTCATGTTGGTAATTACAGTGAGTTGTCAGTTATGGTGATGTTAGCGTCTTAGAAAAGCTCTTCAGGTTTTTAGCCATCATCTCTTCAAATATTTCCTCTCCGATTCTTCTAGGACACTTCATTAAACACACGGACTATCTTGATATATCTGCTGCGTCGCTTAACTTTGATTCTTTTAATTCTTTCTCATCTTTTTAGTTTTCTCTGCTGCATTCTGGATAATACTTTCATAATCTATCTTCTAATCTCTAAGTTCTCTCCTCTGCTATACCTAACTTGCTGTCAAATCTGTATGTTAAGTTTCCAATTTTGGGCTACTGAAGTTCTAGATTAGTGCTGTCCAACAGAACTTCCCACAATAATGGAAATATTCATATCTGTGTTGTTTAATAAGATAGCCACTAGCCACATGTAGTGAGTGCAACTGACTAACTGAATACTTAATTTTAATTAGTTTAAATTTAAATAACTACATGTGGCTGATTATCATATGGCACAGAAAATTTCTTGAAGTTCTATTTGGTTCTTTTCAAATCTTTCAACTTGTCAGTTTCCCATTTCCTGAAATTTTCAAGCTTGTCATTTATTTATCTAAATATGGTATAATTAAAGTTATTTTTAAACCCGTGCTTTGTAATTCCCATAGTTAAAGTCTGGGCAGAGAGGCTGGTATTTTTATCCCTTTGCTGTTTCTTACTACATGTTGCCATGTCTCCTAATGTGTTTGATTATCTCTAACTTTGTACTGGTCAGTGCTTTTGAACAATTATTTGTGGAGGTCCCCTGATGCCCAGTATGAACTTGGCTTTCATCCATCACCAAGGCAGTTTGCATCTAAGTACCCAGAGGCACCTTCAATCGAAGACACCTTAAACCATGGCCAACTCTGTGTGCAGAGCCCTGTCAGAAGCAGTCTGTAATACCCAGTCTCAAACATTTTTTTCTTCTCTTTACAGTCTCCTTCATGCAGATTGGGAAACCAACTTATTTTTGACTCATCCATTTGTTAAGAGAATGGTTCTTTGGAGGTCCAGCTTAATACAAGCAGAAAGCCAGTAAGAATCCCCACCTTGGGGAATTGCGGCTTCCTGTACTCTCATCCCTCGATATTCAACAAAAGCCAAGCATACAATGTTATTGCTGTTTTCAAGGGAGACTTAGCCTGACATTACCAGAAACAAAAAATGTTCCAGATCTTTTTTTTTTTTTTTTGAGACACAGTCTCACTCTTGCTCTGTTGCCCAGACTGGAGTGCAGTGGCGTAATCTCGGCTCACTGCAACCTCTGCCTCCCAGGTTCAAGGGATTCTCCTGCCTCAGCTTCCCAAGTTGCTGGGACTACAGGCGCCTGCCACTACACCTGGCTAAATTTTGTATTTTTAGTAGAGGCAGGGTTTCACCATGTTGGTCAGGCTGGTCTCAAACTCCTGACCTCAAATGATCCACCCACCACAACCTCCCAGAGTGCTGGGATTACAGCCGTGAGCCACTGTGCCCAGCCTCAGATCTATTTTGAACAGCAAGACCAAGCTCCACTGCACACTCCACTCCTGACTGCTTAAACTAGATGTGCGGGTTCAACCTATCAGAGGCAGCCTTTCCTGGGAGACTTTTCAGCTGGCTGAATCGGCTAAGGCCGCCTCTAAAAATCACCAAGTGGAAAGGAAGGCATCGCCTGTGACATCCCTTTATAGTTCCAAACAGCAACTGCACACTGCTGTCTCTTATTTTACCCCTGCCTCGAAAGCCCACTGATCTCTAGTCTGTGGGAGTATGGGAAGCTTCTTTTCACCAAAGTGTCCATCTGCTTTAAGCTAATGAAGGAGAGAAAGCATTGCTGACTACAAAGAAATGCTAAAAATAATTCTAGAGGGATCTAGAAGAGGAAAACGCAGACTTCTCTCCTTCTGTTCCCAAAAAGCTGATCCTTTTTCCAACTCTCAATAATAAATTGAAGTAATCCCCAAAGAAAAAAATTATTATAAGAAAGGTGAATAAATAATATCAGATGTTACTGAGTAAATTCTACATACCAAGAATGGTCACAGATGCTTCACGGGCTCTCTGACTGCCCTGAGGAGGGATTATCATTATCCTCATTTTACAAATGTGAGGACTGAAGCAGATACTGTGGGGGAGGATGGAAGTAAAACCAGTGATGTACATCGCCCGGCACCAGAGAGCGCAGCATCAGCGCAGCAGCCACCGGAAGGTGGAGTGCAAAATCCATAGTAAGGTTAAGTCTGGTACAAGCTAACGGAACTTCAAACATCTTTCTATATCATATTCCTAGCAGCTGATTATCAGAAGGCTTTTCAGAAAAATAGAATCACAACTATATACACCACAAAATATAAGGAGAATCGTTTTCATATACTTGGAAAACTCGATTTCATAGAAAAATGCCTCTGAGAAAAGATGAAGTGAAAAACATGAAAGAACAAGAGAATGAATCTATCTTAAACATTTATCGTGTTCTAGAAATAGTGCTGGGTACTTTATGTGTGTTTATAAACTGATTCTTAACCAAATCAAGAATAGTGGGTTTCTTTTATAGATGAAGAGGCTGGGTCCAGCGAGGCTGTCCCAGGCGACGCTGGAGTGATGCCAACCTGGGGTTGGCATTCAAGAACAGGTGTGCAGGGGTCTGGAGCCCACCTTGTGGTTTTTCACTAGAACACATGTCTCTTATAAAATTCACTCCCCCATGAAATTGACATATTCCTTGTAGAGATAACACATGGTTGCAGAAAAAGGTCTTTCCAATTCTTTTCAGTTCAATTTTTTTCTGAATCCTCACCAATCCTCGCCCCCATCTGTCCTACATCTCAGAGAATGAAGTCTCTGCAAGGCTAACTGCACCATCTAATCTTGAGCCCTGAACTCTCCGGCCTGCTTAGGATCTCTGTCAATCATCAAGTATTTATTGAGTGCTCACTAGTTGCAGGCACAATTCTAGGTGCTGCAAATAAACAAATAAAGCAGACAAAAACCTCCTGACCCCATAAGAGTTCACCTTCTGGTGTGGGAAGATTAGGAATAGACAGATACATGAAACACACAGTCTATCAGATGGCAATAATACTATGGAGAGAAATAAAACCAGGGAAGGAAATAAGAGAGTGAGGAGGAAGAAAGAGAAGGTGGAAAGAAGGGGTTGGGGGCTATAATACTGACGTGGTTCTGGAGAGGCTTCATTCACGTGGTAGCATTTGCTTGAAGATGCAGAGGATGGGAGGGGGAGTTACAGGAAGAGCAAAGAGAGAGGAGAGGGAGCAGAAGACAAGGTCAGGGTGCCCTCGTCCACAGCTCTTCTTCCTCCATGTGTCCAGTATGTCCATGGGAATGACATGATGTGCTAAATTCAGAGACTCCAGGCAGCCCATGGAATGCCTGGTTCATTCCCAGAGCCCATGCCATCCACAGTGCCTTGAACACAGTGAGTGCTTAATAAATGCCTAGAAAATTATTTATAAAATTATTTGGGGCTGATCTTAGCAGTCTATGAATAATCACATATATAAACATGCATGTGTGTGAATACTTACCATTAGCCAGGATCTTGGGTTTATTAGCAGGACTGAAGCAAATATTATGAAAGATAAGAAGAGGCAATAAAGGGCTGCTCCTATGCTTGTATTTGCTCATCTCTGTTAGTAAGTCCAGGCAGCCAGGAAGCCTCAGAATCATTTGTTGCCCATCTTCTCCAAATGATATATTCAGGAGTAACTTCAACCAAAGAATAGTCAGATTACTGAGATGTTTATTTCCGCCTTTTGGCAATGCTAGAGAGAGGAAGTTCTGTAAGAAGTTACTCTGTGGATAAACAGAGAGAATATTATTTTCTTCTCAAGTCTTTTTCATTATTATCCTAGTCCCTTGGTGACCAATTAACTAACATTCTGCTACAGTCTTCCCTTACATTAATTTCTCCTTCTTTCTAATACCTTCAGAATACTCCATCTATGTTCTTTCCAAGTAAAAGTGAAAAAGGTACGAACAAAATCGTGCTCAAGTTTTAATTTCCACTAGTTCTTTCCCCATGAAGGATAAAGTATACTATAGTTAACTCTTGATTATTCAGAATTGATAATTCAGTTTGGAGATTATTTCAGGCCTTTTGAGTTTTCTCTTTTGTCTGCCTTCTGCTAATTTTGCTACTCATTAAAAGTTACCCTATGGAAGAAAAAAAGACAAAAATTCAAATCAGTCTTGAATACTAGCTAACAGCTCTGGAAGTAGTGAGGGTATTTTGAATCATTGTAGCTACAAGTGTTGTTGTTTTTATCAAACCTATAGATACAACTGAGATTCACTTTACCCCAGGTACTTATCATTATAAATAAGAATTTTTTATGGCTACATGTCATTCTATTATGTTTACAGATGAGAAAGCTCTATCATTTGAACTGTGAGAGTCTTTTCAACCTCCAAATAAAGCCCCTTCTACAAACCCCACCAAATCCTTAAGTATATGAAAGATAATAAATTATTGTCTAGACTAATCTATATGCAAAGTATAAAAGTGCTGTGTCATGCTGAAGCCCATGACAGCATGGAAACCACAGTTGGCTGGACATTTTAGAAATGAAATGCAATCACTGAACTTTTATGATTGCACAGAATAACTCCTTTCTCTCTCTGTTTAAATCTACTCCAGTTTATCTCTTTGGTTTTCCTGGACCAAAATCAAGATGTTGGCTTTAATCTATAAAACGCATTTAACATTTTTATACAAAGGACTCTGAGTGTTGAGAATGAAATGAGTTACAGAAATATTATCAACATTACCCAAACAATAAGTAAACTGTAAAATTACATGCCCACTTTTAGTTGCATGCGCTGTCTGTCACTCACGCCCACTTCTCCTCTCTTAGCCAAACTGACATTTTTTAGATTCAACCCTTGCTGGATTCGGGACTGACAAGGGTGATAAAAGATATATGTCAGTGCTCTAAAATCTAAATGTGCTATGGGCATTCCTTTTGCTTTTTTTTGTTGTTGTTGCATCTAAAGATGTTTTCAGACAATTTCCTACACCAGGTAGAATGTGTAGAAATGTATACCATAGTAGAAAAGAAAACGGGACACTTCAGGGCCTGAATTGTACACTAGTACCTGCTGCACTTTCTAAGTCCTATAGATAAGTAATGAAGAAGTATAAATGTTAAGTGTCTGGGCTCATTATTACTTAATGCCACAGAGGAAGTCTCAGGCATTTCCTAATTAGAGCAGAGGAAAAAGATTTGATTAATCTGTCCCTGGAAAGAGAGTCTGATCACATTTCATCAAAATATTCTTAAGTATAGCACTAGAATAACAGATTAAAAGTGGAACATATCTTAGAGATTATTTACTTTAACCCAAAGGAAGCTGAAAGAGAACAGGTCTCCAGCTCAGACTCATGATTGGCACTTCCATTCCATCCCACTTAGCTTCCCACCAACATGCTCTATAAGGAAGTGGTGGAAAGCACTGCCCCTGCTCTGCTCTCACATGTGCAGAATCTCTCATTCTTAAAGTGGTAATCACATATATCCAGTTCAAGATAACATCTCATTTTGGAAATGATATATGTATATGGATACATATATGAAGAAAATATATTCAAATATATATACATATATGACATACAAGAACATATCAATGAAGAAAATATCCAGCCATGTGCTGGTAAATAAACAACTGATTGCAGTGAGGGTAGAAAAGATCCAGGATTTGCAGAGTTCACAAAATTACATGGTGTGATACTCCCACTGTGGCTGATTTCAAGACAATATAACATCAACTGGAATTTTTATAAAATTCCTGCAGACTTAAGATGACACTCATGAGTTAGTAGGAATTGGCACCAATGCACCACTGAAAACATCTTTCCTTGGTAAGATTGATCTTTCCACTTCCTTAGAAAGACCGATCTTTCTATTTATGTGGTGATAACAAGGCATATTCTGAGGAGTTCAGGGAGAAGGAACAGTAGAGGAAAAGGAGACTCAGTTCTTATAAATGCTCTCAATTTTTGCAATTTGTCTTGGCTTTCAAGTAAAAGAAACAGAAGCACTCAAATTACAATACTAGTAAGTAATATATAATCTGATTACATTCAAATTTGAAGGGATTTTCCCAATTAGGGAGTCTGTGCATACACATCTAAATACAGATTCTAACTGCACATGTGTACTAGAATTTATTTAACTCATTACATCCCTTTTAAATTACCTTAAGTTAAAATCAGTGATGAGAAGTCTAGATTGGGAACCAGAGTCCTAGAGAACTCAGAAAATTGCTTCTCATGCCGTAAAGAAGTTAAAGTCTAACAGGGGAGAGGGGCTGTAATTTCATAAACCATTTTGTCAATGAAATTAAACTGAAATTGTTACTGCTCAATTTGGTCTGTTTAAAGACCAAATATATTACTTTTATTATATCCAATAAATGTAAGACAGCTATCTTTCTAGAACCCTCATTTTTGAGAAAGATAAAATACAATCCAAATGCTAAGAAGATAAATGGAAGGAAATGGCAGGATTCTACCCTAGCTCCTGTCCCCTTTCATGTGTCATCCATCAACCGGCTTTAAACAAAGTGAACCTCTTAATCCTTTCATAATCCTTTAAAATAAAATGCCTCCAAATCATAATATATTAATCCTGGAAACTAAGTTGTAAACTTTTGATTGGAAAGATTATTTCACTGAGTAGCCTTTTATGAGATGAAGGGGAGTTTAAGTGCTTACCTTCTGAATTACTCCTTTACAGTCATGAGACAAGGCCAGGTTGGAAAGAAGCATAAAAACCATCTGCTGAACTGTGGTGTTCTCCAGTGGCATCTGGGAAGCCAACTTTAGGACACACAGCATCAGAGAGTTGCCCAGGGCTCCTCTGTGTGCAGCTTGAACAGGGTGCTGTCCACAACTTGACCAACAAAGAGAACTGCAACCTTCAAAAATAACCGCCTATCACAATGTCTTCTTAGTTTCCTTTCCCTGTTTAGTTTTTGAATACACTAAGTGGTAAAGCATATCTGTCTATCAGAATGACTTAGCCATTAACCTGCAAATTAGCAATGGAGGCTAATGTTGGTGTCTACATTCAACCTCATAGATATACTGTCCTCACTGAGGGCCTAATTATGTCAATAGAGCACTTTAAGATACCAGGTTTATTTTTTAAAAAAGAATAAAATAAGTATATTAGGGTTTTTAATTGTTCCTAAAGAAAACATCTAAATAAAGGCCTGTGTAGAGGAACAGATTTTAGAAATGTGAGATAACTTGTCTAATGCCTTCATTTTACATAACCGACAAATAAGGAACATAACATCCCTGGGAAGGGGGACAGAACAAATACTATTTTCTATATTTGGTCAACAAAGATATGAAGCTCAGAAGGGCCAGTTTGTTGTTCAAGGTCACACAGCTTAGAAGTGGCAGGAATCAGCAGTGGCATCTACAGGCTTTCCAGGGTCCAGTATTTCTCAGGAAATTAGCAACTGAATGAGACTTATTGAGGGAGAAAAAATTTTTTTTAATTAGAAATGCATTTTAATGTTAAATCAATAAGACTGTATTATATGTAAACCTAAGGTATAACTGACTTGTGAAAGTTCATACAAGGAGGCTAACTTAAGTACAAATTGATCAGAATCAAATGCATTCTATAAAAGAAACTCATAAAAGATGAGTAAGCCAACAAAAGATACAGTAGTGGAGCTGGAAAATGCACCGAAACGAGACATTCCCACCAGACCTAAGGAACGGAGAAAGTTGGCAGCACAGAATGAAGGCAGGGACAATCCTGTACACATATGCTTCAATGATAGTTCAAGTTCAAGAACTTGAAGGTCTGTTTATATCTCTTTGTGCTGACTGGGTATCAAAATGGACAGCTCCAGAGGTGTCAGACTATTCAAAAGAATAAGCATCATTAGCATCTGGCAGTAACTAGATGGGCTCTTAATTGTATAACCTTTGATATTTAGACCCCAGCCGCTGGGCTACTGAATGTTGTTGGAAGAAAGCACAAACACTTGGTAACTAGTCAAATCTTAAATTGGTTAGCATAAATTTTAAATGGGTACTTAACACTGCCAGCAATCCTACTTTGCTTCCCTAGTGTGTTTGCTTTTTTTCCTCTAAACACAGCTACTTCACACTTTCTCCTCTTCTCACATCACCTCTACCCCTCGTCTTTGCTCACTCTTAGTGGTCAGTGTTTTCTCCTAAATGAAGAAAGGAGAAGTATTCAAAATGGGAATTTTCTCATCATTCCCATCAAGTCTATCAACCTACCTAAATCCAGATCCTTCCTCTCAGCCTTCCCTCTGCTTCCCACAGTTGTCGGCTGTGCTCTAGCTCTCACCCCTCTTATCCTCCCAGGGTGTGCTCTTACATGCACTCTTTTTTGTACCTCATTCTACCAATCCCTTAATAAACATGCCTTGAAAATGCACATTTTTTAAAACAGCAAAAACTCCTCCATTGACTCCACATCTGTGTCTTGCTGTTTCTCCATTTCTCTGCCCCCTTATATGTAGAACATTTTGGAAAGGCTGTCTCCTCTACTTCATCTTCTCTCCTCAACCCACACTAATTAGGTTTCTATTTCAGTGCTGCACTAAAATAACCCTCAAGGTCCATAAGAACATCAAAGCCCAATAGCCATTGTTGCTATCCTCCTTTTAGTAGAATTTTCTAGAGCATTCCACACAACTGAGTATGCCCTTCTGACTTTCTGTGACTGTACACTCTTATCTCATTGGCTATTCCTTTTTTTTCTGGTTTTTTTTTTTTTTCTTCTTCTTTTGATTAATTCCAAATGTCGATGTGCCCCAGAACTTGGTCATGGGATTCTGCTTCTCCATCTATACGTTCTCCCTGGGTAAGCTCAAATAGCCACAGGACTTTAAATACAATCTATATGACAACAACTCCTGTGGTAGCCAGCCTCCAAGATGGTCCCAGTGGCCCCTGCCTCTGCACTAGGGTTGCTGTGTGTGACCCACAGGAGGTAGGAGCGCTGTTCGGTTACTTCTGAGACTGGGTTATAAGATATATAACTATAACTTCTGCCCTGGGCCCACTCACTCTGGGTCGTTTGAAACAGCCCTAAGTAGCAAGGAACTGAGGCTGCCATAGGAACACTGAATCCTCTATCCCAGTCAAGACTTCAGATGACTGCAGAGACTCTGAGCAAGGACCACCCAGGTAAGCCATTTCCAGATTCCTGAGGCACAGAAACTGTGGCGTAATGAAATGATTGATGTTTACAGATGCTAAATTTTAGAGTAATTTGTCTTGTGGTAATAAATAACTAATAATACTCCCAACATTTTAAATCTTCAAACTTACCTCTACTCTCCGTTGAATTCAACTCCATCTTACTATTTTTACTTGAGTGAATACCAACACCTCATACTTAAAAAGACCAAACAGAACTCTGGATTCCTACTTTTTTCTCACTTCAAGTCTGCTTCTTCCAAATCTTCCCCATTTTAGTAAATGGCACCAGTGTGCATTCAGGCTCATTTCTCCAAATGAAGTTTACCCAGGACACCTTTCTTTCCTTCCTACCTCCCACTGCAGGTTTCCTTGACTCTACCTTTGGGCCATACACTGAATCTGTCTACTTCTCTCAATCTCTCCAGCTACCACTTAAGCTCAAGCCACCATTACGTCTCCATGACAAGTCTCCCTGATTCTAGCCTTGCTCCCAATCATCCATTCTCCACATATCACCCAGAGTGATCTTTCTCTTCTTTTTTTTTTTTTTTTTTTTTTTTTTTTTTTTCTGAGACAGAGTCTTGCTCTATTGCCCAGGCTGGAGTGCAGTGGCATGATCTCGGCTCACTGCAACTTCTGCCTCCTGGGTTCAAGTGATCCTCCTGACTCAGCCTCCCAAATCTGGGATTACAGGTGTGCACCACCATGTCCGGCTAATTTTTGTATTTTTTTTTTTTTTTTTTAGTAGACACCAGTTTCACTTTGTTGGCCAGGCTAGTCTCGAACTCCTGGACTCAAGTGATCCTCTTGCCTTAGCCTCTCAAAGTGCTGGCATGAGCCACCGCACCCAGCCTAATCATTCTTAAACACAAATTAAATCATGCCACTCCCCAGCTTACAACTGCCAATGGCATCCTGTTATATTCTCATAAAAATCCAAACTCCCTGCTATGGCCCCTGAGGCCCTACATGACCTGTCCTCCTATCTCATTTCAGATCACTTTCACCAGAACTCACAATGCATGGCGCACAGCATGCTCTTGATAAAATGTCTATTGAGTGCCAGAGTGAAAGAGCAGCCCTAGTGATTTCAAGTATCACCAGACCAACTGTTCTGAGAACCAACTTCCATCATGCCTGTCTCCTGTTCTAGAATCTATAAGAAGTTCTAACTTTCACCTGGCTTTTGAGGTCTTACATCATAATTTTTATCCTCTCAATTTTCCTACTAAACTCAATTTCCAATTGCCAGATAATCAGACCAGTCCTCCCTCTCCATTCCCTGCACTGCCAAGGACTTTCTCATGTCAACAAATATACTAAAATATCTGTCTGCTTTCATACCTGAAAGAAAGCTTGTCTTTGCCCATCATATCCTCAATAAATCAGAGAAATACTTCAAAATACATATCAGTTTTTCTAGTTCACCTTATCAACATTTATAAAACTAGTATTTTGGTATATTACTGAAAGGCCATACTGGATCCTGTTTACCATTTGGAAAATTTGCAGTATAGACGCAAAGGAGCTGCAGAGAAATTTGCATCAATGAATCATCCATCAAAATCCAAGGCCAGAGAGAGTGCAAGACAGGGACAAGGTGAGCTTCAAGAGCTGCTTCCTGTTGAAGGAAGGAAAAAAGATAGCATTAGTCTGAATATGTGAAAATATAACATTAAAATCAAAACAACAACAAAAAAGCCACCAACATAAGACACAAGCAGAATCCTGTGGCTGGCTTCAGCATCTTGCCCCAGCCCCACTGGGCTCCACACATGACTGCCCTGACGAAGAGCCTGACCAGTCTCAGGAAGTCCCTTCAACACCAGGGTGGTTAATATGTGCTACTAAGGTAGGAAGCATAGAAAACAGCTTCTGTAACACATAAATTAAGCAGCAAAGTGGTATCTCACAACACTGAATATATTCCTGTAAATGCTATGAAACGGCCAAGAAGTGAGAATTTCTGGTTAAGTAAACATTCTGATCAACTCTAAGTCCTCCCTTGCCCACCCTCTCTTCCTCTCCTCACCCCCCATGTGTGTGTGTGTATATATATCCAAAGTAAATCACAGTTTTTGAGTAATATGAATATATAAAATTCAGTCTATATAGTATGTTAAATCAATACATTCTGAAGTAACTCGGGGTCTTTATTACAAAGATCAGTTATCCCTGGGACAACACTGCAGATAAAATACAGCTGTTTACAGTAAGGGCAGCAATATCTTTTTTAAACGAACAAGAATTCCAAGGTAATTTACAGGCCCATGTTTATGCATGTGAGCATGCACATAAATACACACACCCTATACAATTTCACATAGCGTCAAGTGGCAGAATAGAAGTGATTCCCAGTGTTCGACACTCCCCGTAAGCACTAGTCATTCCCAACGCTCTCCCTAAAGTTCTTCCCACGTTCACCACTCTCTGTGGCACACAGCCCTCCATCTGCACCAGATGACCTTGCTTACTATTTCACAGAGAAGACAGAAAGGATTAAGTGCAAATTCCTTTATCTGTTCTGCCATCCTGTCCACACAGTTTATCTGTATTTTCATCCATTCATCCTTCCTGTCTGCCTGGCAGTGAGAAAGAGGTGTTCCACGTTTTGTAGGAGATTGATACATCCATCTGTGTTCTGAAACACAGCTCTTCCTGCCTCCTCAGGGATCTTTAACTGCCAGTTAGTTCTTCTCTTGCTGTCTCTGAAACAACTAGTCCCCAATTTGCTCATTTCTGTGCCTGTATTCAAATTTACCTGTTAAGAGAAACATCCTATATGTCTTAAATTATTAATGCCACTTTTCAGGACTAAACTTCCACATTATTATTGCGGTAATTTCCCCATCTCACATTTAATCTTTAATTCCCATTTATTTTATTTTCTCTCCTGATGATTCTATTGAGGCCACTCCTACTTTTGTTAGTTGCCAACAATGCTGAAGCACTATGGCATTTGCTATGTGTCTCTTCTTTCTTAATTTCCATGCTGCTGCTCTATCTTGGATCATCTCTGATAGAGTCTGGGTATTTGTCCCTGCCCAAATCTCATGTTGAACTATAATCCCCAATGCTAGAGGTGAGGCCTGGTGGGAGGTGTTAAGATCTTGGGGGTGGATTCCTCATGGCTTAGTGCTTTCTTCAAGACAGTGAGTGAGACCTCATGAGATCTGGTCATTTAGAGGTGTGTGGCACCTCCCCGCCAGCTCACTCTTGCTCCAGTTCTAGTCATATGATGTGCCTGTTCTCCTGTTGCCTTCTGACATGATTGGAAGCTTCCTGAGGCCTCCCCAGAAGCAGATGCCACTATGCTTCCTGTTCAGCCTGCAGGACTGTGAGCCAATTAAACCTCTTTTCTTTAATAAACTACCTAGTCTCAGACACTTCTTCATAGAAAGACAAGAATGGCCTAATACAATCTCCAAACTCCTTCTCCAGTATTCCCCTCTCAGCTGTTTTCTGCCTTCTCTTAAATGTCCTTATTGTCCAAAGATATGACCTAGGTTTTCATTATATACTTTCTTGGGAAATTTCAACAATAGTGAGGACACAAATGACACCCACACATCAATAACTCCTAATATCCCCAGTCTGTATCACTCCTCAGAGTCCCAGACCCATAAAATCTACTGACCACAAGCCATTTTTCACCTGGATGACCCAAAGACTCTTGAGGGTAGCACGTGCAAGAATGAACATCGGGTCTTTCACACCTGTGCTCTGCTCTATCATGCACTCTTGCATTGGTAAGTAGCTTCCATGGGAGTTTGAAACTCCCCTACATTCCTCTTCTTCTCAATGCCTCAAATTTACCCTCCTTCTCCTTTCTACCTGCTCAAGTTAAGGTGTCGTCATCTCTTGTCTGGACTATGACAGTCCCCTCCACCTAACCTTGTCCACTGTTTAACTCATTTACCTCACAGTCACCATGATCCTGCCTTCCAGTAGGAAAATCCCTTAATGTTATGCATATGCAAACAGCAGGGTGGGGTGGCAGTGGGTGACCTGGAGAATTACCCAATATGACCAACTATTAATAATGAGAACATGCCGTACATGTGATAAAAGCTGAAACTGAAATTAAGAATCTCTACCTCCATAAGATCATATTTATATTCAAGGATAACCTAAATATTCTTTGGATATACTTCTTATTAAACAACTTAGAAATATAGAAATGCTTTGACTTGTTGAGATATTACACTTTTATAAATGGCTAATGTGATACAAATTGAGCACAATATTTATAACTAGTAGCCAGGTTAGCATTTCATAAATCTTTATAGGTAGATCCTACCTGTAAAGTATTCTAGAGTATTTCCCTGAATAAAGTATCACGGATGAATATTAACTGCACATGCACATAAAATTTATATATTTACATATACACATGAATACTGATTGTACATCCAGTCACAAGCATACTATCAAAAGCATGAAGGAATCATAAGTTTATTAATGGCACCTCTGTTTTAAGAAAAAGTTCATATAAATTCATACAGGAATTTTAATAAAATATACAAATAAACATTTAATTCCCATCAAACTACTCTGAAATATAAATTGTGAGTCACGTATCTGGCTTTTTAACATAGCTTAAGGAATAAGTGTGTTCAACACATCAATTTTCCAGAGGTGATAAGGTTTTTCCAGTTGTACTCTTACCACAAGAAATAGTAAAACAGATAAAAATTCAAAAAGCAAAGGAAGCTTCTGTAATTTATCTTTGCTTTCTATATTAAAGCTTTAATATTTCTTTAAATTTTATTTTCATGATAAGCTCTTACAAAGAATAATCTAGTATTTCTGTATTAAAGTATTAATCTAGTATTTCAAAAGTGTTGTAAAACTATAGACAAAGCAAATCAGAGTGTTCAAAAGATTGTATCTTCTAGAGTAGTACTGATACAATGGTTTAAAACAACATTATCAATGCTTATCAACAAAGCAAAACGTCTCAGTGATTTATGACAGAGCGGCTGTGTAAATGGTCACAGGAAGTCAGCAGAACTAGAAGAAACTTCCTCTCAGTGGATGTGGCTGCACTAGGCAGCAGCTCTAACTATCTTCTCCTCTGAAGCAGGAAACTCTTCATCTTTCTTCCTTACAGATACAGATAGTTTCACTTATTTCCTTGGAGAGTTGTTCTGACAACCCATTTTGAAAGAATCTACCTTAGAAGACACATCCAGCCATTCATTCCATATCTAAAATAGGTGGGGAAAAAAACACCCAAAATGCCTAAGAGTACAGAATGAGGCTGAAGTTTGTGAAGTTAAAGTTTCAATGATAAATCAAAACACTGATATACACAAATGTAATTAGTGTTGATGAATAACTAGATACACCCATTTCCGACAATTACCACTGAGTTTAAGGACCAATCAACTGTGCATCTAAAAATTTAAAAGTCAGAGTGTTCCATTTTTCCTACTACATTATCTCATATAAAAATTAAACCGCTTAATACCAGCACTTCTATTAAAATTTTGAAAAGTAGCTCTACTTACTTTACATTCTTCATTTTGATAAAGACAGTTTCTTAGGAGCTGCATGGCAATGCTTAACTCTTTAATAACACCATCCTCCTATTTAAACAAAAAGCAGTTGAAAATTGTGAACGCAACAGCATACTCCACTCTTTGTATATAGTAATTCCCTCCCCTTTGGGTCACAGTACAATGCAACTGTGCTCTAATCACGCCCAACCACTGTAACTTAGAGGGAACTGACAAGCTAACGATCTCTGAAAGATGACCATATCTCAAGAAGCACATTCACCAAAAAAAAGCTATTTCTGTCCTATGAAGCATGGAGGAACTCGGATATATGATAGCCTCCACGTTTCATCTCAATAAAGTGAGGCAGATAGTGACAGGTTTTCAATCAAATCAGGTGTTGGCTGACTTTCTCAATGATAAAGTAAGGGCCTTGGGCTAGAGAAGAAAAAGGAAAAGATGCAAAACAAACAAACAAAAAATAACTGATAAACATACAATCAATCTCCTGCATCAATTAAATTATTAAATATGGCTTTGTCTTGGTTTCTTATTAAATGAAGTAGAAACTAGTTATTATATACAGTGCTGTTATAAAGGCCTTACATGCACACATGTATGTATATTTGTTTATTCATACTATTCATACACTTTCATTTGCTGAATAAGTGGGTGGCAGATCTTGTTAACCATAGTAGTTATTGTTAACCATAGCTATTATATAATAACTATGTTATTCTGAGTTTACCTGAGCGTGCAATTTAAACATGAGTCCGGCAGACTCAACACTAGAGGAGATACTCAGAAGGCACAGAAGGAGATAAACAGAGTTTAGGAATACCAGCTCTGCAACCACTAAGATATCGAGCAAATATTAGCTCCATCAATGACCAATTGTGTGACTATGCTGTAATGAGTGTTTGTTCATGAGATAATAAATATGAAATGTTTCAATAGTGGCTGACATATAGAAAACCCTTAATAAATTATAGTTGTTTTAGATCTCATTCCTAGTTAACCTACAGTTGTTCTGAGATAAAGATTTTCTTTTTGTAGTATAAAAAATTTATCTGGCATAGTATCATGAATGTATAGATATTTTCAAATGTTTATAAAAACAAAAGTGTATAATAGACAGACGTTGTCTAAAGATCTTCAAGTAAGAATTAAGAACAAAAAAAGCCAACAATCTGCTAATAAACAAGTCTCATTAATTATCCAATTGTACTTTTCTTCTAAATGAGACACGCATTTCAAGTCTGTGCTCATTTCTAGGCACTGGAGGAATAGAGAATGGTCTCTATATATAACCATTCATTATGTTACCTTTTTTTTCAATGCTGCTTTCCCAGGCCTCAGAGAATCTAGATTCAGTTGTGCGTTTATGTGTTTCATCTGCTCCATGCAGTTGTCTATGAGATTGGCTGAAAGACAAAATCTGCAGCAGTCTAAAAGATATTCTATTTCCAAGTAAGTTAAAACCACATACATCAATCAGATTCTCAAAAAAGTACTATTTTCTATTTCTGATCCACTTCATTTTAGAATCTTCAGTGACAGATTAATGAATCAGAGAGGGGAAAGTAAGAGGAGTAAAATGCTGACTCCCGCTTGTTTTCAGTTTTTAGTAAGACACTCCCCAAATCCAATTTATATCTTGAGGAATACATCGTTTGTTTTAGTAGCAAATCACAATTGATATTAATGGACTTGTTGTTGCCATTATTCTCTTTTAATTCTCAGATCTATATTCTCCAATTCCCAAATGAGAAATTATAACACACAAGAGGAGAAATTTATATGAAAATTGGAATCATCTGTTGCTGTTGTTTTTACCATCAAAACTATGTGAGTTTTCTTCAGGCATGCTGTGAGTGCTTCCGGATACCAATATTTAATTATAATGAAATTCAATGTGTTATCTTTTAGCTGCTCTAATATTTATGTAAAGACTCTTTAGAGCAAGGACCATCACAAATCAACCAGTGCAGAAAAAAAAAAACACATCTAATCTTTTTATTTGAAAAGTACTATGTGTTTACTGTGTTTCTGCATGGAAAAATATATGTTTATTTTTATTGACACTGAGATTATACTGTAAGTTTTTTACATTTTGAGTCCAAAGAAAATTAACTTGAACAAGCAACAAAACATGTGAACTGATGCTAACACCAAAACAGCTGAAGTGCCACGTGGCTCACCTTCCAAAGCACGTTTCTGCGCTCTTCTACTGACAGCCAGAAGTGACATCAGTGCATTTGCAGCTACTCTTTTCAGGATATCTTTGGAGGATTTTTCTTCATAGCACTGCAGAGAGAATACAAATCAAACTGCCTTGAAGAAAAATTTAATCTGGAGCAAAACTGTTGTGAATAAAAGACGTTTTCTACTTAAAAGATATTGCTAGGTTTCAACTATCATGTGAAATTAACTGGATTTTGAAAAATCATTAATATCTGAGAATGTTCTGTGTGGATAAGACTGTATAAGTTATTTATAATATGGAAGAGAAAAACAGTAATTCTTAGAGACTCATCATCTACAGAAAAAAAGCTTTATTTAGAACTAACACATAGCAAGCTAATATAGTTACTCAAATTCACTGGATCATATTGTATATATATGTATAACTTATTAAAATGGGTCCCTCTAAAACTACTGAATAGGAGATGTCATCAGTTATCTCCTTTCTCTTCTAGGGAAGAGAAAGGAGGAAATTGCCCTCCCTCCATTTCTGCCTAAACTACCCATGTATCTCAGTTGATTTGGTTTTTTCCATCTTTCATTTCTATGGTAACATGTACCTGTCATATAACATATTTTCTCAGAAAATATTGCATAACTTTTTTTACTTTTATAGAAATGGAAAATCATTTGTAATTCTGAAAATACTATTTTTGTATATTTCCTTTATACATTTAAATTTCTGAGTTAGAAAAATTTTCACTTAAATATTTCTAATATGTACAAAAGTAGACAGAATAACAGATTCCATACATTTTTATTTTAAAAAAAGAAACTAGAAATTTCTGCTCCAAGATGGCCAACTAGATATAGCCAGGAGGAATATCTCCCACTGAGAGACTGGGACATCAAGAAGACTGGCACGCTCCTAGCAGATCTTTAGAGGGAAGTCATTTAGAATAGATGGAAAACACACAGCCAGGACTGAAGGGGGAGGAAGCTGGGAACCCTGCTCAGGGCTACCAAGCACCACAACTTGTTCCTGGTCCCCAACAACTCCTGCTTAGTAGGTGAGTTGAAAAGGCAAGGAACAAAATTTGCCCTCACCACAGGCCCCTGGAATCGTGGTAGGAAGGAACCCCTGGACCATCATGGACACTTGAGTTGACAGGGAAAGCTGCTTAGGGAAGCAGTACAAGCAGAACTCCAGTTGGGGCAGAGCCCAGAGAGTTTGGTATGGAAGTGTCTATAGTGGAGCATGGCCAGGGACACCCATCCCCTTAGGCTAGACTTGCTCCCCTAGGAGACTTTATCCCTAGGGGAACTATGGGACCTCAACTCTGCAGGGTGGTCTTGTCCATGAGATGGGGCCAGCCTGGACCACTGTTCATTCTGCTGGCTCTCTCCCAGAGCCCAAGCCTGCCCACACCTGTCTGGAATGAAGCTCCCAGGTACTTCCTGGGAGCCTGCATAGTAGCTCCTGCAATGGCAGACTGTGCCTGACTAGCAGAATGCTCCAGCAGAGCGACCCCAGTGGACATGCACTAGCATTCCTCCCCCACTGCAGCCTCCTTCATGCTGCCTTGCCTGCAGGGACTCACCCACTGGCCACCCACCACAATGCTTTGTGGATGTGTGCAGGTGGACCTATCTTCCCTTCCCCATCAGCATGTGTGCATGTCCACCCTGCCGTGCCACTGCTGTCAGCGTGAGTACACCCCATCCTCCCTCCCTGCTACTGTCCTCAGAGAGTGGGCAGGCATGGAGTCCGCCAGCCCTGGCCCTGCCAGCACCCCACCCCTGCACTGGGGCCACCAGTACAAAACTAGCCACCAAAAGCAGTGAACCCACCCCTAGCCCTAAGCGGCCACTGACACCAGAATGAATGGGCACAAAGGGCAAACACAGTCTTGCATCCACCATTGCCCCGTCTCATGCTAACACCACCACCAGTATGAATGTGCACAGTCTCCAGTGGGGGCTCCCAAATCCCCAAGCTGTGCTGCTACCACAGCTGCTATAGATGCCTGCATGGAGGATGTCACCCTGGCACCTGACAGCACCCTGCCATAGCTGACAAGTGTGCACCCTGTTGCACTGCCGCTGCTGCTGTCATGTGTCAACAAGGACAGATCCTGCTGCCACCTCCCTACGAAGTGCTTTGGCTGGCACCAACCAACAAAGTGTCATGAACAGCAGTCTTAGAGTACTCTGGCCCCTCCTGAGCAACAGGTTCCTAACCTTGAGGAAACAGAGATCAAAGTCCTGCCCTGATACCAATTCCCAAGAGTTAGAGCACACAGTCCAAGAGTCCTGAGCTGAGCCTTGGTCCCCTAAAATCCTCCTAAAACAAGTCAACTGAAAACACCTTATATCATAACCAAATGCCCAAAAACATCAAATAAGACAAAAGAAAAAAAAAAGACAATCGTCCAAAGGATAGCAACTTCAATGACTGAAGAAACACCAGCCCTCGAAGACGAAAAAGAACCAGCACAAGAACTCTAAGACCTTAAAAAGCCAGAGTATCTTCTTTCTTCCAAACGATCATACTAATTTTCCAGCAAAGTTGCTTAACCAGGCTGAGATGGCTGAAATGACAGAAATAGAATTCAAAATATGGATAGGAATGGAGATCATTGAGATTCAGAAGAATGTTGAAACCCAATCTAAGAAAGCTAAGAATAAAAGTAAAACGATACAGGAGCTGACAGACAAAATCGCCAGTATAGAAAAGAATGTAACCGACTAGACAGAGCTGAAAATCACACTACAAGAATTCCATAATGAAATCACAAGTATTAACAGCAGAATGGACCAATCAAAAGAAAGAACCTCACAGCTTCAAGACTGGTTTTATAAGACAGTCAGAAAAGAGTAAATAAATAAATAGGAACAAACAAAACCTCCAAGAAATATGGAATTTATGTAAAAAGACTTATCTACAACTCATTGGTGTCCCTAAAAGAGATGAGGCAAATGGAGATAACTTGGAAAACATATCTCATCATCCATGAGAACTTTCCCAACACAGCTAGAGGTCAACACTCAAATTCAAGAAATGCTTAGAATCACAAAACATCTCACAAGAAGATCACCCCCGAGACACATAATGATCAGATTCTTAAAGGTAAAAATGAAAAAAAGAAAAAAAGATAAAGACAGCTAGAGAGAAGAGTCAGGTCACCTACAAAAGGAAGCGCATCAAATGAACACTGAACCTCTCAGCAGAAACCCTACAAGCCAGAAGACACTGGTGGCCTATATTTAACATTTTTCAAGAAAAGAAATTTCAACCAAGAATGTCATATCCAGAAAAACTAAGCTTCATAAGCAAAGGAGAAATAAGATCCTTTACAGAAAAGCAAATGATGAGGAAACTTGTTACCACCTGCCTTACAAGAGTCCCTGAAAAAATCACTAAATATGGAAAGAAAGTACTACCACCAGCCACTGCAAAAACACACTTAAGAACATAGACCAGTGACATCATAAAGCAACCTCATAAACAAGTTGGCATAACAAACAACTAACAAAACGATGACAGGATCAAATTAACACATATCAATATTAACCGTGCATGTAAATGGGCTAAATGCCCCAAATTAAAAGGAACAGAGTGGTAAGATGGCTAAATAAGCAAGGCCCAATGGTATGCTACCTTTAAGAGACCCATCTCACATGCAATGACACACATGGGCTCAAAATAAGGGATGGAAAAAGGCTACCAAGCAAATGGAAAACTGAAAAAAAGCAAGCATTGCAATTCTAATTTCAGACAAAATAGACTTAAAACCAACAAAGATAAAAAAAAAAAAAAAAGACAAAGAAGAGCATTATATAACAGTAAAGGGCTCAATTCAACAAGGTGACCTAACTATCCTAAATATATATGCACTATACACAGAAGCATCCAGATTCGTAAAGCAAGTTCTTAGATATCTTCAAAGAGACTTAAACTCCCATAGGATAATAGTGGGAAACTTCAACACCCCACTGACAGTATTAGACACGTAATCCAGGCAGAAAATTAACAAAGATATTCAGGACTTGAACTCAACACTGGACAAAATGGATCTGATAGACATCTACAGAACTCCTCACCAGAAAATACAATGGAGTATAGATTTTTCTCACTGCCACACAGCACATACTCTAAAATCAACCACACAACAAGACAAAAAACAAATCTCAGCAAATTCAAAAAAATCAAAATTATACTGATATGGTTTGGATCTGTGTCCTCACCTAAATCTCATGTTCAATTGTAATCCCTAATGTTGGGTATTGGATCGTTGGGGTGGATCCTTCATGACTGGGTTAGCACCATCCCTTTGGTTCTGTTCCTGTGATAGAGTTCTCATGAGATCTGGCTGGTTAAAAGTTTGTGGTACATCATACCTTTCTTCCTCCTGCTCCCACCATATGAAATGCTTTGCTCCCCCTTCACCTTCTGCTGTAATTGAAAGTTTCCTGAGGGCTTCCCAAAGGCTGAACAGATGCCAGCATTATGCTTTTTGTACAGCTTGTGTAACTGTGAGGCAATTATATATCTTTTTAAAATAAATTACCCAGTCTCAGGTACTTCTTTACAGCAATGTAAGAATGGTCTAATACATAAGCCATCCACACCCTTAGACCACAGCACAATAAAACCGAATTCAATACAAAGAAAATTGCACAAACCATATATTTACATTGAAATTAAGCAACCTGCTCCTAAATAACTTTTGGCCAAATAATGAAATTAAGGCAGAAATTTTTATGAAAAGACATTTTTCAAAGAAGACATTTATGCAGCCAACAAACATACGAAAAAAAGCTTAATCGCTGGTCATTAGAGAAATTGAGATACCACCTCATGCCAGTTAGAATGGTGATCATTAAAAAATCAGGAGACAACAGATGCTGGAGAAGATGTGGAGAAATAGGAACACTTTTACATTGTTGATGGGAGTGTAAATCAATTCAACCATTGTGGAAGACAGTGTGGCGATTCCTCAAGGATCTAGAAATAGAAATATCATTTGGCCCAGCAAATCCATTACTGGGTAAATATCCAAAGGATTACAAATCATTCTATTATAAAGACACATGCACATGTATGTTTATTATGGCACTGT